CCCCAAAACCCCAAAACCCCAAAACCCCAAAACCCCTCCAGGCAAATCAAAGTTTATTGTCAGAAATGAAAGATAATAAATACTCTGTAATTTATCTATGTTGCCAGATACATTATTTTCAAAGTGTTTAGCATTAGATTTTTTGCTGTAATACTTAGAACTTTGTGGAAAATATGATAAATATTCATTTATAATTAATTGAAGATATTTTTTCTAGGGTTTTCTGAATGTTTACAATGAGTTATAAGTATGAGAGTCGTTAAGATAATCATTTGATTTTCCTGATTTAACAATGTATATTGTATTATTTATAAATAGGTTCCTTGCTTGTTAAGATAAATGCTGCTTCTTAAATACTTCAAACGATTAACAATTAAGCAAAATAATCGATAAAAAACTATAAAATAACAAACTTCAAACTTTAAACTCTAAGAATTAGACATGTTATATCATGAATGTTCAACAATCTAATAACTTATTCTGAGTCTCTACATTTAAAACATTGATGATTATAAGGCTATCAATTGATCAGTAAAGAATAAAATAAATTTTTGAAGAACTTGTGTAGTTAGCTAATTGGTTAGAGTAATTTTGATTTCGAAAGGTCTTTGTCTTTACAAATATTGAGAGTAATTATAATTTATGCAATAATATCAAGCTGAACTGGCATAAAAATGTGATATTACCTTAGTAAATAAGGTACTAATTTGCTTAGATAGTCCTAAGATATTCAAAAACTATAATACTCTTCCTGTTACTTCGAAAGTTAAATAGCAACCTGCAGAGAAGAGATATATAAGCGATTGTTTAATCAAAAAGAAGAAATAAACTCTTTAGACATAAAAATAAACTCTCCATGATTTGATTTAATTTTAAAATCTTAAAATCTAAAGAAGATATTAATTACTTAATTAAAGTCTTAGTTGTTTGTTAAGTATCAATTAATGATTCTTAATAATTTCAATGTATATCCGCTTAATTTTTATAATTAATATAGATCTAAATATCAATAAATGCCTAGTAAAATAACTGCTGTGCTGTGCCTTGTTCCATTGATTGGCACAACCATTGCCTGGAAAAGTGAAGGCCATCTCATAGGTAAGAATACTATCAAATCCCTAATATCTAAATTTAGTCTCAAGAATCGCATATGAAAAGCTACAAAAAGAAAACCCACAAGCCTTGGCTAAAGCAACTAATCTACTTCAATACGCCACCTAGAAAAATCCATCTTTGAATTCTGCTGAAGGTGATTACCCATTCGTTGAGTCATCAACTTTCGCAGATACAATCAAATTCAGAGGTGGAGCATGGCAAAGTGATTGGCACTTTGTCGACACACCATTCCTCGACTAAGGTGATGACATCTCACAATACCCAGACTTTAAGTTCAACCCAGAAAACATTACTACTGCCATTCAAGGCATCGCCTCTTGGATTAATCAAGATTCAGACTATTAAAACAACTTTGTTTACCAGACAATGATGCCAAAGATGGAAAACGATGAGAAATATGGGCAATCGTATGCTCTTAGACTACTCATCCATTATCTTGGAGATATTCATCAACCACTCCACTGTCTTTCAAGAGTTGACTAGCAATACCCAGTTGGTGACAGAGGCGGAAATATGTTCCCAGTTCCCAATCACTATGAAGCTAAGAATCTTCACTCAGTATGGGACTCAGTAGTCTATGAATTCCATGTCAATGACAAGCTCGTAAGCATATCTTAATAAATAATCTTCTAGCCATATACCAGCGAAACCTGGGATAAGATCGGAAGCTCAGTTCAAACCTTGATGAGCAACAATGCAATTAAACCATCAGAATACAAAAATTTTGACGTCTTCAATTGGGCATAAGATACCTTCGAGCAGGGTAACCCAGCATATACTGGTAATTAATATTACGTAAGCTTAATTATTTAATAGGTGTGACTGAAAACGAAAAGGTTCCAGATGCCTACGTAAGCAAAGAGCAACCAGTCGCTGAGCGACAACTCGTCCTCGGTGGTTATAGACTCGCTTACTTGATTGAGACTCTATTCGGTTCATCAAGAGTTGCTGAGGAAGCCTCTCTATTCCTATATTGAGAAGATTCTGCTAGTCAGCTCATTGCCGAAACTTGAATTGAGTTAAAATTTAAACATCGCCTAGTTAAATTGGCGCTTTATCTTAATATAAAATATAACAATACTGATAAACCTTAATTTAAAAATAAGAAGCTACCCTTACTCTCTCACTTTTGTGATTATTACGCTCTCAAGGGGTTTTGGGGTTTTGGGGAGATCGGAAGA